AATCAACAGTTTGCTCACTGATATCTCTGCCTTTCTATCGGCCTTCCGCTGCCACAATGTCGAAGATATTCCGTGCTAAAACTCTGACTTCAAAGGAAGAAAATATCGTAGAATCGATTCTTGACTGTCCTGATCAGTCTCAATACCATTGAGGAGTTTAGGCAAGGGAGCCTCCTGAACACTATTGTGATGAGCACTACGTACTAAGGAAGCTACTATAAGCATTGCATGGACAGCTATCAGGGGACTGCATTAGATAAAACATGATTTAATCGCAAGTGGAAAATGCACAGCTAGAGTAGCATGTTCATCACTCGCGTCATAGAGTTTACAGGGTAGATGGGTAACCACGAATGGGCTCACTTGAACGCCTCTCTCGTATCCAATAGGATAATGAGGGAAGCCCACAAACGACGTCGTCTGTGATTTAGGTGCTTCACTCGAGGGTATCAACTGAACACGTTACGAGTGTTTCCCAGCCCGAGTATACAATGGCGGATTCTTCTCTAACGCGGTGTGCAACTTACTACAACCAGTGACTATGAGGAGAAACTATTCATGCCGCGAATGTCTGGGTGGCGAGCTTCTTCGATGGAAGAAATAGTCCGTAGCATGTATCGCCAGTGGTGGAATTTACTTAGCTGAGATCAGAAGTTTTCACACCACATATTAGGAATTCACACACGACACAGTAGAAGTGGACAAAGGCCAACAAGCATTTCTTCAAAATTTCATCAGAATGTTCATATTGTCATCAACACACATAGTTGACCATGTGCATATTTTCCCGCCCTGCGTATCGCTTTTCCTGCTACCAATGAAAGGCCCAACGCACGACATCAAGAGCTACTCCCGAACCTGACCTGCTGATCGTTTCTAGTCAGCACAGGTGCGGTTGCTGTCATCATTTCTACCCGAGGTCGACCGAAACTCAGAAAAGTATATTGGTAGAGTACCTACAGCAACGAGATCTCTCAAAGAAAACACCATTTCACTAGGAGCATTCGATGGCCTATATACGACTATACGCGTGGCTTCGTCATTAATCAACACATAGGCCGACGATTCGACTCGCAGGGTTGTATCCAGCAGAGAACAATGGCGACGCAACTACTCTAGCAGTGAGGTAACCAAGTAGGGCGGCGAGGAGTGTAACGAAGCAAGCTTTCCGTTCTCCCATAGTGAAAGGTCGTGCACAACTCAGACGACCAATCGCTGACCAAACGGGTACATCCCTTTTATCGATGCCCGTTTAGGCACATACGAACGCAACACTATCGGTGATCGATATGATGTTGCAAAGTATTCGTTCAGTTGTTTCATCTACTCACGTCAATACTTGGTTGTAGAGTCATGCGTATCAGACAAGTTATGCTCTCTTTCCCTTTCTGACTATCAAAAAATCAACCACACTGTGTTTCCATTGGACAGTATATACTGCGTATTGTATATCGCGGTGATCGTCTTATATATTGTATAGCCATCCACCGTATATACTGTACATATAGCATATACAGGGTTAGGGACTATCCTCATCGAATCAATGCCAGGCCAACAGTGTGCGTGTCACCAACTACAGCGCTAGTAACAACCTTCAGTGCCTTCTTTAAATGCGGTCATCATGGGATGTTAAAAAGCGTGTAGAATTGCTGATTGGTACACGGTGAACGGAATCACCACCGTCCCGCGTGGATACGGTTGAATATCTGCTCAGTCTAACTATTGACAACACCGAGCATCAAAATGCTTATGAAACGTTGAGTGGGACGTGACAGTGTTAGCTGGCTTCAGCCATCTTCTCATCGCCGTCGTCATCATTCACGACCTTCCGGCCCGCCGCAACTTCTCGGGCCTCATTGGCGCACTCCAGGGCAACTTCAGGGATCCTGACAACCGTTTCTCGATGCCCACACGAGGAACCCCAAAGTTTCCCTCGAAACAACCCCGAGATAAGATGCCCTCAACCGTTGCAACCAACTCCCAGTGGCCTACAAGAAATCTTTTCCCTCCAGTCCTCTCCGTCGAGCCGCATCTACTACGCCCAACATGGAGTCAATCGTTACCTCCGAGAAGGAACTGCCGAGAGCCTCAATCTAAACAGAAGCCTGCCATCACCATCATCGTGTTACAGCCTAACGAAGATTCTCAGTGACATTCCTCTCTAAGCAACTTTTTTCTTCTCCCCAACTGTCTTGGGTTCCCACACACACCACCTCACGCTATCCCAAGACTCGGATATTAATCAGCCCAACTTACGCATGCACACAAAAGGGCTATGGCCTGTCTCGACGCCTGGTCAACTTCTTGGAACCTGTCAAGTCACCACTGCACTCACATCAACGCTGATGATGAACCGACCCTTTCTCAGTCTGTGTGAAGTTGATGGACTGAATATGGCCCGACTGCTTCGGCTTCATACCAACCCAAATCCAACCGTTCAGACCAAGCACGACTTGTAACTGATGACAATCAGACACATAGTCCAATAGCACTCCCGCCCTGCTCACATGATCAAAGGGTGCCGGTAGATTCTCAACAATATGTGAGGACTGCCTCCTCACCAGCGACGAGGACACTAAGGAGAACCATCAGTGAGATAAGGATATGCTGTAGGTGTTGTTGCTGTTACTACCTCTAACCATCTGACCATTATACAGCTTGCCGTACTTGGCACTACGAGTGTGTAGAATAACATCTCCACTGTCCGATACCACCTTCTGAATCTGAACAGGGCAACGACATTCCTAATTCGAAGCAAGGCAATCCACACAATCACGAGGGTATCCGTACTAAGTGACGCTAAGAATCACATGGCGAACATCCCTACGACTGCTACAGGTGTATTCCTGGTCAATGCTCACCTCAGCACTGAGCAAATCTCCCTCAGTAAACATTGCTCGCATATTCATCCTGTCAGTGTCAGTCCTCCGACGCTGCTCTCCTTGAGGAAGATTAACACCACCAATAGGCAAAGCCGCCAACGATCCACCACTGAGAGCAAACATACCCCATCCAGGGATCGAACCCGGGACCATCAGCTTACCCGCCATAATCCAACATCCACCTATCCCCGCCCACTTCAGCGACTCTTCCCACGATCACATCGCCAACCTCCCCCGTGTACCGACTCTACAACGGGTCCATCCCCAGCCCAACAAACCACCAATTTTTACCTTCAACGGCCGTATATAAAGCAACTTGTTCACTCTCTCTAATATTCCTCTCACTGTAGCGACCAACTTGCCATCAACAGGATCAACCAGTAGCCCTCGCCCCTGAAGGAGTATAGATCGATTCATTAACGGTGTGGATCTCCCGAATCACGGGAATAAGACTTCAAGTCCGAGCACAGCCGGACGAGCCAATTTTCATAAACCATCGGATATCAGCAAACACGGAAAACGCCAGGGAGATCGACACAAGCAGCTTGAGGATCAATGACAAGTTCGATAAGTTACCATGCAGCATTCATGAAAAGACAACCCAAGTCAACAGTAGTATACGACACCACTACTTTAACTCTCTCAAGCCTACAAAGGAGTATGTTAATAAGAGAAAATTCTTCCTCCGAAACTTATTTCCCATAACGTTTAAGTGCATGCTACGTCAAAACAGCCACTTGCTGTTACCGACTCTCTCCAGCGCCACCCTCCCCCCCACTACCTTCAAATAGCCCTTATCAGCATTGATGACATCCCCCGGCAAGACCAGCTGCCTTTGATACATCTGCTGATGATGTGCCGAGTCCAACGTGGTCATCGACACATCACCATTCGTGCCTTCCTCAGCACTCCTATTGCCCGACTTGATCGACAACATAGACGGCAATGAGGCAACTGAGACATCCACGACCATCACTCTGATCCCACTCAAACGCGACTACACAGGAAATAGAAGCAGCATTTACGAAGGCATACTAGATAACACACAATATGTCAGTCCATGGCCCCCCTTACTCAACCCTGTATCGTCTCGTTGACCATCGTGCGAAATGAGTCCGAATTACTCACTAGGATACGGCTACTACAATAACTACCACACCAACCTTGACACGTTGAGTACTTGTCCGATGGTTTACCAATCCCTGCAAAAGTGCCTTCGAACCTGCCTTCCTCCAACGCCTCTAGTCACGTACTACAACCAGGCTCATCTCCACTCACGTGACAACTGACATCCACCTTCAACAACGTGCTTTCTGACCAGCCCACCAGCTTCCACCAGTCTATACGTCTGACGCTTAGCAAGCCTCGCACGTACGTTTATCGAATACTTACCCAAAAAGTGGGAGGGGAGGTTCCTACAGTGCCCACCATTGCAGCCTCCTATACACAATTCAACCCTACACCTTTCTAACCCGATATACATCATTCCTTCCACTGCTGCCTTCAATGAACACCACCACAGAGCCTCCGCCGTGACAGACACTCAGTGACCAGAAGTTCGCACACGTCCAAAGAACCATGGACCCCACTACTACCAGTGATATATGCCTGATGGCCAACGACTATATTCTCCATAATACGCTTTTTCTAGTCCTTATTACTCAACCTCCTTAGCCAGTGTCGGGCCGAATGCATATACATATCGAGCCAGGCCTCTGCAACAAGTCCGATCGACCATACCGTGTGAAGCCATCTACGAAAGTTGATTCTATTCTATACTCACTCGTTCTGTCATGCACTACTATGGAAATGAGAGTGTTATGCTCGGCAAAAGGGAACGAGAAGAGTCAGCCCGTTGAGCAGTCTTAATTAGGATGCGATAGACACAGACTGCAACCCTTGAGGGTTGTGGTTCTCCCCAAACCACAGCCATCACGTTAGGCATGGCCGTGCAACGATCACAGAGTAGTCAGGCACGAGTCGTGCCGCACGCCTTCACCTCGCCCGGAGCTAAACTTTCTCAATCAACCCACGATCATAATCCCGCACAGGTTCTATCCCGGGCGACTGCTTTTTTCCACCAAAAAAACTCATCCCGTCAACAGTTGACTGCCAACTTCAGTATTTCATGATCAACTCAAAACCTGTTAATTTTAACAGCATAAGGTCTATGTCGATTCAGCATGAAAATATCCACTCAAAAGCGAGCAGTGGGACTGTAAATGCTTTCCGAACCGCTCAATATCATCCCTTAGTCGTGTGGACGATGAGGCGATCTGAACAACAGATAGTATTATTCCTAAACATAACACAGCCGTCGCAGTTACCAAGCTCTCATCATTCCTCAACAGAGGCCGAGGTCCGTCCGACAGGTTACTATGTGACGTCTTCTCTGGCCCAACCGAGCAGCTCCCTGCAGTTTTCGGAAGGCGAGGAAAGGAAAGACTAGCAAAAAGCAGTCGAACATGATTCAAATCGTCGTCTTCGCCATCACCTCGCTTGAAGCCCTTCACATGCCGGCGAAATACCACTTCTGCTCTCTGACGACATCATCGCCGACCGCGAAGGCGCATGGCGTTCTATTGCTAAGTTCTCTTCGCCAGACCAACTGAACGAGTCTATGGTGTCCCATACCACTCCCCACGCAACTCTTGCAACAACCACTGCTACATAGAGCTCCCAAACCACTTACATGCTCATCGACGAAGATCTCGGGAGTGGCTCTTTGAGATTGGGCACTTTTAGCGACTGTATAGGTAGCGTTATAGTCACACTTGTCGCCATGCCAGTATTCACTGGAAAATTCAAAACTAGACTAACGGCATCGCGTGGCCGTATACTTTCCTCCAACAGCAATTGACCAACACAATGCAACCATACCTTCCAGAAGTCTATCTCGCGGTTCGGCCCATCAATTTAGCAAGAAAGGATGTCAAATTCGCCGACAGGGAAATCAATTTAACGGCGATGGTCGAATTGGGAAATCAAATAAAGCGAATAAGACCTGTTCAGTGAGTGCATCAATTTCCTGATGAAGGAATGCAACTTCACAGACAAGGACATCAATTTCGGGTTGCAGTGTCGAATGTGAATATTTACACTGTGCAGCCCCACGATCGAATTTCGAATAACTCTATAGATCCTGTCGCTCTGTGCGAGGTTACTCAGACACAGCTCGTTCAACTTGGAGCTCTATAGGGCGTACCTGATATGCATAGAATTTCCTGGCACGTGAAGGAATACACAGCATCTCGAACCAATTCCGTATCCAAAGCGGTCAACCAGTCCACGACGACGCCCTTCCTTGTCTCCAGCTGTGTTACCCACCAACGTAAGTCGAAATCGAACATAAGGAGCAGACCACTATTTCTTCCCATATCTTCGGTATTGAGTCGAGCAGCAAACCAAGATCCACGTTGGACAGGTAAACAGCCAGGAATGCATCAGAGCCATACAAAGATGCCACCATGACCTTAACCGTGACCGAGGCAACGCGGATGATGTGCATCTGTAGAGCGTCCCTCGAGTAGTTCAACAGACGCTGAGAGCAATTATAAATAGTCGCTAGACGAGCCAGCAAGACCGGTGGACGCCGTGGAGCTGGACAGGGGGCTCTTGGTTGGCAAGAGGTTCCCTAAGATACCATCCATGGAAGACAATTCACTGAATATGATGAATATGATGACAAAGAACTCGGCAACTTGATGAGAGTAAAAGTCATTATCATTGATACTACACCAACCATAGAATCATAGTAAACATGCACTTATCACTGCTGTTGGCAGCCCTCCTCCTCGCCGCCGCCACCCGTCACGATGTTTATTGTGCGATCGGAAGCTTCATCGCCGAAGCCCTCCATCATCCGATGTGGATTATGATGGGCCTGAGCCGTAATGGGCTGCCTCTCGACGAGGGTAGCGAAGCTCACTTGGCGCGTCACATCACAGACGTCCCCGAAAGCCTGTCTAAAACTGAAAAAACGGAGCAGTTCGGAAGGTCCTAATGAGCTGTACAGTATAGCAATGAATTGTACACAGTGACGTGTCTACAGCATTTCCAAGTCAAACGAATATTTTGCCCGAAATTTAGATAATTTACCAACTTCTTTTGAGAAAATGCTTTTTTTTAAATTTTCTACCG